CATCAACATCTGCATCATGGATACAGGGTCAAATCACAAAACTTGTGTGGAAAACTTATTTTGAAGGGAAAAGCTTTCCTGTCAGTGACCCAGTGAGGTTCACTGAGGTGCCTTTTCTTGAGCCCCAGGTATTGGAGCTGTGCTTGTATGCGCCCAGCTGCTCTTCTGGTTTTGTAAGCTGAACTTAGGCAGTAGTTTGTGGACTGAGTCTTGAACAAAAGTGTTTCTCCCAGCGCTGTGTCTCCTGCAGTCAGGCAGACAGGAATGCAGGAGCATCCAGACTTGTTGCTGCTCTTCATCCCTGTGCTCTGTGTGATCTCTGGTGTCAGCTTGCCAGGTGAGGGCAAGGAGCTGTTGCTCTGAACCTCGGTGTCCAGATACAAAATAAGGATAGAAACTTACTTTTCAAGTATTATCTTTGGTGGATCTGGCCACACTACCTCAGAGGGACAAATCCTTGATCTATTTTAGGTTAGACTGATGGTGATTTGGGATGTCTGTAGTTGTGCTCTTCCTGAGTTGTTGAGATCTAACCTTGCATTTCAATTCTGCAAACTGGTTGGATTGGCAGGGATGAGGAGGGCACAGCATTCCTGTAAAGTGTTCTTCCTGATAATCCCCCATCCCTCAAAAGCATATGTCCTTCAGCATGAAATTCCTGTGTTCAAGATGTTTCTTACAGTTCAGCCTATGGCTCTCATCCTACCACCAAGGAGTAATGCCAGAAATAGCCTGTCTTCTCTACCCTGCACCTCCCAAGCAGGCAGTTCTGCATTGCCTCAAGCCTCTGGGTGGGTGGTATTTCACCAGGGAGCTAAACTATAAAAAGTACTTGGAATTTGGATTTCCTAGTACCTCACTGTAGGTTAGAACAAACTTTCCTGATGCAGGTAATTGCTGGTCGTTGTACTGGAGTGGCCCAAATCTCTTTAATGCTGGTTTCTCCAAATTGAATATCCTCTGCATATTCTGTCTGCTGTGTATTTGGCTTTAAAACATTTTCCCCTTCTCATTCCCTGACAGCAGCTCTGAGACTCATCCCTGGAGTTGCCTGCACTGAGCCAAACATTCCTCATCTATAAGGAAAAGTGAAATGTTAAGGGTGGAGTGGGTAAGGTGGGACTAAATTGTGGGAACACTCACTTGAGAAGGAGACCAAATGAAGTTATCAGTGGAAAAATTGATTCCTGACCATTTTCTCCAAGGAGACACAAAGAAGAGCTCCCAGTATTTGAGGTCGTCTGCAAGCAGAGGTCACCTGGCAGACTTACACAGGGAGCAGAAGAAACAAAACCAGAGCTAACAAAACTTTCCTCAGTGTTCTGTGTTTGGATGTCATTTTGTAGGTGTTTTCTTGCCCAGGGGAGGTAAATTGTTCTACCTGCACTAAAGTTTTTCTTCCAGTGTGTGAAATTCCTAGCTGTCTGATCATTTGCAGCCCTCATTGCAGTCCTGGCTGCCTGCTGTCAATGCTTTCACTTGAGCAAGGTTGTCTTCATGACTGCAAAGAGCTGCCTTCTCCTTAAATCTGCTTTTGCCTTCCTTTGCCTTCTGACTGACAGGCTTTAATGAGGGGAGAGTGTTGTAGTGCCCTGTATAGCAAGTGGTCAATAAAAACCAAATTGCTTTGTACAGCAGAGGTAATAACACAGTTTGTTATTGGCACAGCTGATCCTGATATTGGGGCCCTTGGTAGGAGACAACAGCTTTCTTCTGTCTTTAAGTAGTAAAAAGTGCATGTCATCTATTCCTTTTCTCCCCTCTCATCCATGGAAAATGGTAATTGGGGGTGACACTGCTTTGTTGTGGCTCTCCTCCCCTGTGGGATATTTTCTGTGGGGTTGCTGAGACACAATACATAAGACAGCTCTTTTTATTCCTGAAAAAAAATTATAAACAGGCATGTGAGGTTGTTACAGGGGTGGCAGGTGGAATAGGTGAGGATTAAAATGGAAGAACAGTGTGAAATTCCTTTTGCTGCTCCCTCTTGGGATGATTGCACTGAGCTTGGCAAGAGCACCCTTGATGAAAGGAGCAGTTAAAACATGGGTCACCTGTGAGTGTAGTAATAAATTTGGGGGGTTTTAGTCCCTGAGGACGTTGCAGATCTTCTGTATGCCTTCAGTCCTGAGTCATTTGGGTAAGGTGTCACCGTATCCCCCTGATATCCCAGCGCCAGCTTCTCCGCGAGAATGCACCCACCGTTTACTGCGGGTGTGCAAGAGTCACTGTCAGTGCTCCAGCTGCCTCCTCCCTGAACTGCTCAGGATCTTTGTTCTGCAGGAGCTCTGTGAAGCGGGAAGGAATTCTCCACCCAGCACAGCTGGGAAGGTATTGATCTGCCTCTCCTGGGAGAAGCCAAACTTGTTCATTTTGGGATAGATCTCATACCAGGAGGCGGTAGCCAAATTGGAGGGGCTACAAAGAACAGCTGCAGTGACTGACATGAAGGAATTGGGCAATGGCAGAAGATTGCAAGAATTAAAGCTGTGAGCCTGACTAAGTGATGATTAAAGAAAGCCAAGAAGATGCAGCTCAGTACAAAATGGCTGCATGGGGGTAACCCACAGAAAAGGGTTTGGAATCTGTGCACAGAGGCTGAGCTGTGGAGAGGTGAGATGTAACGAAAGCAGAGGAAAACAAGATGTTAGGAGAAACCTTTTGCCAATGACTTTGGCTGCAAACAATCTCCCTGGAGAAATGGAGGCAGTTCTGTGTTGTTTTAGATAATCAACACTAGGCTGGACAAATCATTGCTAAATACACTGCAGGGAATGACCCTCATCAGCTGTGAGCTGGATGAAATGCCTGGCTCAGCCATTTTCCATTTGCTTATCTCAGTGGGAAATATATTGCGTGCATAATTCCAGGTTTGGGGGGGAGGGAAATTTTAGTTTTACTGTTAAAACTCATAGATGCCTTGAGTGAGCCTGGCTGCTCCATGGGAGAAACACGTTAAAATATGAAGCTGGTTGGTGTGTGCCCTAATCTGTATTCTGAGTCAGTCGGGGTTTTAACTGTTACTGCAAAATCTCAGTGGAAATATCTGCTGGGATTTACCAAGCACACAATGCCCAAGTGTTGCCATGAATCAGAACAGCCTTATGGGAGGCAACAATTCAAACTCTCAAACAGCAACAAAATTTGAAGAATAGGTACAGTTTGATCAGGTCGATTTTGTATGTTTGAATGTTTTGGGGGATGGGTTGTGGTTTGGTTTTGTTTGGTTTTAACAATTGCAGGGTAGGATTTGGGTGGGCAGACATCACCAATGACTGCATAGTTTCCTTAAAAAGCTTGCTCAAGAGACTTGTGTCTTGTCTTAAAACCAGAGCAGGTCAGCATCAGCTGCCCCAGCCTCCACATGTCCTCAGCAGACAGACCCCGGGCACCGAGGGGCTGATGAGCCAATGTAGGACTCGTGAATAATGAAGAGGCTGATTTCTGTCTGCTTTGTGGTGTGAAGCCCACCACCACAACCATTCCTTGTGCCCTCTGCATGCTCAGAGCTCAGCACAGAACGGACACCGAGCTGCCTTCGGAGCAAACATCTGGCCAGGATCACAGAAGAGCTGAAACCACGTGACTTCCTTTTATTTTGAAGGTTCTTATAAATATGTATATTTTTTAAATGCTCTGTTCTGCTCCAAATCTCAGTCTTTCAGGTTTAAGGATGCTTCTCTCACAGATGTGGGGTGTGTTACTAAAATCCCCCTGCTGAAGCTTGGCAGCAGACCTGGTGAGCAGTGCTCAAGTCACCTGCAGTGGGTGGAGAGCAATGTGGAGAACAGCTTCTCCAACCCCTTTTCCAACCCTGAGAGTGCCAGTGGATGCTGCTTGGGAGTCTTTGCTGCAAAATGCTGCTGCTGCCGCCTCTGTGAGTGTGATCTTATCTCACCCAAAGTGCACAGCACTCCTTGGTTGTCCTTATGAGGAGCCTTTTCAGTAAGTCTGGAAACAAGCATTGGCTCAAGGTGGCTGGGCTGAGCCCGGCAGGACGAGGACGGCAGGAGCAGAACAAGGGTGATTTCCCACTTGCCAGCCGGTATTTGTGATGTGCCATAAAGGAAGATCCACAAAACCTCCTCCTGCTCGGCTTTGTCTCAGCCCAGGGCTGCCTGCAAACTGCAGGCAACGGGAGAACAGCTGATGAGTTCACCACAGCCACCCTTCCCGGCTTCCTGCATTAGCATAACAATTACAGCCCCAGAGGCTGTAAAGAGAATACAGGCTTTAAAAAATAAACTAGAATTTAACAGAGAAATTAATAGCGTAGCAAATTGTAACGCTCAGCGCTCCGGCTGCGTGTCAGTCTCGAGTGACAGCTGTACGTGCAGCCTTGGCAAAGTTTCATTTTCAGACCTTCCACTGCATTTGGCCATCATTTCAATATCTCCACTTCCATTTTCTGGGGAAAGAGCCTGCGGGGCACCATTCCTGCTGCTGCTTTCCCCAAAAACTTGGAGTGTTTTGTGTCTGTTGCGTTTCCCTGCAGCCATGTGATGTATTGGCATTAAAATGCTTGAGATAGAAATTAATTTATGGCAGTGCTGGTCATTAGAGCTGCTGGAGTCCGAGTTTTAGAGTGTTTTGGGTTATAAAATTTGATTTTTGAGGGCTTTCTTATTTAGTCATGTATAGCTCAGCTATCAAAGCAGTTGGTAAATGCCAGCACTGGGTGGTTGCTGTGACCTGCAGTGATACCAGGGCGAAGCAAGAGCAGCTCACTCGCATCTCATCAAGCATAAAAGAGCTTCAGGAACAGCTGGCTGGTGAGCTGGGAGCTGCGGGGTCCCACTGAACACCGCTCACAGCCTGGAGATGATATTTGTGTAAAATGGTTGTACTCTGAGATGCGGGTGATGCCTGGGAAGCCGAGGGTGTCCCCAGGATGAGCTGATTGATGCATTCCTCTGCTTGTGGTTGTTGCACCAGGATGTTGAACTCACTCTAATGGCATTTTTTCCCCAAATCCTCTGGAAAAGCAGCTATTTTGGTGACTTTCCGTGCCAGCGGTGACCATGGCTTGTCTGGGGGAGCAGCCAGCGCTGATGCCAATAATTCCTTTGGCTCTTTTTCTGCCTGAGTCAGATCGCTCAAGCATTAACCTTAAAATAGCAACTATTTTCATAGTTGATATAATTAATCTCCTCTGTGTGTGTGTTCCTTCCCCATTCCAGGCTCCGATGCTTCACCACTCCCCTGCTGACCCACTCCTGCTTTGGCACAAGAAAACTCGGGGCAAAACTTGCCTTTTCCACCACAAAAGCACAACCTGCGGGCTGTGTGTGCTCTGCTCCGTGAGTTCACTGCCACACCGGTGGCTCCAGTCACAGATTCCTCGCTCATGTGGTCTGTCGGTTTTGGAGCATCTTCTCGATCTGCTTTTGGGTGGGTGGATGTAGAAGGGGGATGTTGATAAGGTGCCAGGACTGGGGGTGACACTGGCCACAAAGACAACTGTGCTGGGTGGGTGGGTGGCTGGCTGGGTGGCTGGGTGGCTGGGTGGCTGGGTTTGGTGATGCAGTAGGGAAAAGCGCTCCGGAGCAGCCTGAAGCCCGAGCGGAGCCCGTGCTGCGCCTCGTCCAGCCCTGGGAAGGGGAGGAGCGAGGAAGGGGATGGGATGGGCTAACCAGAGTCCATCCCCTGCCTCTCTTCTCCTTTTCCTGGGGCAGCTCCTGCGTCAAGGCACATCTAAGAGTGCAAGCGTGCAACTGGAATATTGCTGGCTATTACCCCATCCCCAACTTCCCCCTCCCCAAACAGCTCCAGCCGTGCCCAGCATGGGATTCAGAGGGTGCTGCGCTCGGGCTGTGTGACAACACTGATTTCTCAGGTCTGAGCACATCAGTGAGGAAGATGAAGGGGGAAAAGAAAAGATCATTTGTGATGAAGCACAGAGCGAGCACACAGATCGGGGCAGACTGCACCTCGCTGCTTGCATGCAGTGCTATTCCCACGAGGCAGCTGCAATCCTGGCAATTAAATCAAGAAGGATGCGTTGGGGAAAACCCCCGTGATGGCGTCTGAGGATGCTGATTAAATGTGCACAGCCTGGTGAGCCCACGTGGAACAAAAGGCTGCGTGGCTGAGCCTGACAGACTCGCTGTGTCCTGGGCAAAAAGAATGCTGGGGTTTTATTAAACACTTTGAAGTAGATACCTGAGGAAGGAAAAGCTTTCTGCAGACACACACTCGGCTGTGCAGCCCACACTGGTTAGGGTCCCAGCTTTTACAGTCAGAACGTGGAGCATCGGTTCCATCCCAACCTCCAGCGCTGGCGTGGCAGGAGGGGTAACAGGTTCCTTTGAGCAGGAACCTGCTCTGACTGTGGCAGCAACATCAAATATCACCCAGGGAATGATCATTTCCATGGCTGCACTGTGGGATCTGACAGAGGAAGCCCTGCAAGTGGCACACGTTGCTAAATCAAAAAGCCAGCTCAGGTCAGGGTTGGGCTGGCTCTGAACTTGTCCTGCTGCAGTTGCAGTTACTTGTCCTGAGATGTGAACAATGCCTGAGGTCTGTCCTGGAAGAGAGAGGCAGGGGGATTTATAAAGCAAATCTGCTCTCAAGGACTGGCCTGCAGTGGATTTTCCTGTGAGCAAACAACCCAGCTCCTTCCCGGGCACACTGACCACATCCAGCTGGGCTCGATTGTTTTGTGTTCCTGTCGCTGTTCAGATTTCAATCCTGTCGTCCCCAGGAGTCTTTCCAGACTTGGGCTGTGTTTCTCTGCCTGTAGAAATGTCACTTCATCCTAGAAAATGTCACTAGGATTGTTATTTAAACAGTAATAGGGTTAAAGGTAATAACTGGGAAGTGAAAGTGACTGGCTTGCATAGTTTCCGATTACTTTTCTCCTCTTGTCTGTGTGATTTGAGTTCTCAGCATTTAGCATGGTGGAGGCAGGGTAGAGTTTTAAATAGAATTATGTCCTTTCAACATCAGTTTTGCAGCAGCAGAGCTTGTGCTAGAATGCCTGTGCTGTGCAGGGAAGGTTTGGGACTTCACTGGATTCTCAGCCAGGCACTAACAGGTCATACTCTGCACACAAAAGGACACCCCTGCTGCAATGTGGCTACAGCCCAGGGACCACAGATGAAGGGAAAGGCTGCAAAAATTGGAGTTTTGCTGATGGGCAGCAAAGAAGGGGCTGCACAGGACATTTTTGCAGCACATTTGGAGACTAAACTGGAATCTTCTGAGGCCTGTGTTGGAGCTGCTGGCGGGCCTTTGTCCCTAAAAGCCATGCAGCTGCTGGAAGTGACTGGGAGGGATGCTGGAGGGGAGACACGGCCTCACAGAGCTCTCACTGCCACGTGCTGCCAATCCCCTGTCGCTCAGTGCCATCCCTCCAGCTCATCCCCCAGGCTGTGCCGCTGTGGGACGTGGTGATGGTGTTGTTATCCTCTTCTGCCTTAACGAGCTCGTTTGTGTGAGGCTGGGTAATGGAGGACGAGGCATTTTAGAAACATCCACTTGGGAAATGTATCCCTGGAGAAGTGAGTGGCAGGCAACGTTTGGCTGGATAAAAACAATAAAGGTGCAAAGAGCAGTGCTGTGTCAGCTGTGCTCCTCTGTGTCCTCTGCAAACACCCCGTGTGTGTTGTGTTGGGCTCTCCACAGCCTTGCAAACAGGTTTTGCTGTATCTAGGCAGAGATTTTCCCCCTCTTTGGCTGCTACCACGGGAGTCCAGGCATGCCCAGGCAGCTCCAGCAGGGCCCCATTGCAACACAGGCGGGAAGAAAACTGTATTTATCGTGTGCATCGGCACAGCTAATGACTGCACAGACACAGAGCTGCTGTGGAGGCACAAAGCCCTGCATGGGTTTGAGGTGGGGAAAAGCCGAGTGCTGATGCTTTTAATGCCTGTATGATTTCCTGGCTGCACCACAAACCTGCTGTAGGTTGAATCTGTGGGGCTTTTGAAGTGACTGAACTTCATCTCTCTATGTACACGTTGCAGACAGTGAGTGAAGGCTCAGTGGAGCCCTGATGTGAGAGAAGGGTAGAATCACAGAAGGTTTTGGGTTGGAACAGACCTTAAAGATCATTTAGTCCAACCCTCTTTCAGGCAGGGACATCTTCCACTAAAACAGATTGCTCAGAGCCCCATCCATCCTGGGCTTGGACACTTCCAGGGATGGGGCAGCCACAGCTTCTCTGGGAAACCTGTGTGAGGGTTTCACCACCCTCAGAGAGAAGAATTTCTTCCTGATACCTAATCTAAACTCTGCCCTGTGTCAGTGTGGAGCCATTCCCCCTGCCTTCCTGTCCCTTCGTGACCTTGTCCCAAGTCCCTCTCCAGCTCTCCTGGAGCCCCTTTAGGCACTGGAGGGGGCTCTGAGGTATTCAGAGAGCCTTCTCTTCCTTCCCCAGGCTGAGCAACCCCAGCTCTCAGCCTGAACATCCTGAGTTGAAAGGGACCCACATGGATGCGACTCCTCCACGTGAGGAACAGACCCCTCTTCATCTGGAGAACCCAGATGGAAAATGCTTCTACAACTGGAGCTGTTGCTGTCCCACCAAGGTCACCCCCGGACTCTGAGCTCAGCCTTTCTCCAGGCTCTGTGCTCCCACCGCCAGCTCCCCTTCTCCTCATCCCCACCCCGCTGCCCATCAGCTTTCCCCCTCCACCTTCAAGGAGGACTCCGATTCCCGGCATTTCCCTCCGCGTGTTCCCGCTGATCCCTGCGGGGCGGCTCGGGACTGGGGGGGCGCTCTGGAATCCCTCTCCTT